CATAGATTACCAAGGTAACCAAGAGCAATTATCATGATTGCCCGGGCGAACACTGTGGAGATCTGATGTTAGTGGCGCTACCGGGATGCGTCAAAATGTCATAAGTAGCTAAGAGAAGTTCTTTCATTCCGATATCTCGGTTTAGTAGTATTAGCCGATGGCGCTAATGAAAATGTGCCACGTCTTAGATGATCTCTAGAATAATTGTTCTCTTCACAAATTCCATCCAGCGACGCATGGCATTCATGAAATTCTAAAGGATTTTGTTAAATTCGGTACTCGTGATGATATTAGACATGCTGCCTTTTATCTGGTTAAGCTTCTACTTGTTTCTATGGTGAGGAAGAGATTTTCTGTGCATTTTTCGGTTCACTACGCTTTCTGACTTTGTTTACGTCAGTGTAAATGTTTCGAAAACTCAATCAAATTATGGATCACTGCCGTTAAGAGATGCTGTAAAAAGCTGCTAATAGTAAACATGCATTCTTGCTCCTGCTAACCTATCGCGACAGCGTGTGCTATCATTTAATTTGCATTAATTATGCTTTCAAATTTATCTGCGTAGTATTTTAGTGTGCCAGAAGTAACAAAACCATCCTGGCTCCAAGTGTAGGTATACTGTGTTAGTGGTATGCCACCGGGTGCTCCCATTCGCCGGATGCAGCTATGTCGGGCACTTCGATCCGGAGCTGCACACCTTCAGCTGGTACCCGCTGCCCGTTCGATGTATTTGCGCAACCTCTCCAAGCACTTTGACATATGCTTCAGTATTGATGCAAATGCATGGCTGCCTTACCAAACAGTGAAGGTGCTAAAGTAAATGTGTGACAATTGAAATTTTCAAAATTTCGAAATCATAGTTTTGCCCGTCTTTCATTTGTAAGACTACCGAAGTGTTAAGCCTAAGCTCGCAAGTCATAAAATAAGGAGATATGAATAGATTTCAGGTCTCTGATTTTGTACACAATGGAAGAGCTTGTCTTCAAAAAAAAAAATTCAAGCTTCCAACTTTTTTGTTCTCTAATTTGTAAAATTTGTCTAAAATCGAATCAGAAA